TATAACACCCACTCCCTATAACACCCACACACCCCACTACTAACACCCCTCCCCTATAACACCCACACACACCCACTATAACACCCACACCCTATAACTCCCAATCCCTATAACACCCACACCACTATAACACCCACACACCCACTATAACACCCACACTCCCTTCCCACCCACTATAACACCCACACTCCCACTATAACACCACACACCCCACTATAACACCCACACACCCACTATAACACACCCCCTATACCCACACACCCACTACTGCACCCACACACCACTACCCACACTCACTATAACACCAACACACCCACTAGCACCCACACAAGGTCAAACTGCTGTGGATCCTCTCACATAGGCCTCATAAAACATGACAGAGTTGATGCCTCGCCAAACTCGCGTCTAACAAAGACACCGTTGAATACAATTTGGGTCTGTCAAAGAACCCTTAAAACTGTAATTAGGAAAGAACTTATTGATGAGTTTGACGCAAGTAGACAAGTGCAAACAGGCACTAGTCGATCCATAGGTTACCATGATGAGATGTATCAAGTGAAACATGTATATGGAGCAAGTAACAAGATCACTAGATTACAAGATGTTGTAACCGCTAGATTAGGTTAGGATATAAGTACCTTTGGCAGTATGTTCCTCAAGCAGATGTAAACAAAATAAATGTAAAGTGTGTGGCCATACATATGTCACACACTTGAACACTGTCCTCGACTATTGTTGAAGATAGAACCTTTAGGACAGGTCCAATCACACTGTGTGTGAAATGGCACAATACTTCATCTCTACTGGCAAGATAGCCGACATATTAAGATTGTATCCACTTTTTGCACTTAGTAATTATATCAGTTCTCATGTACAGAACCAAATACGCAATGTGCTTGAATACCTCTCACGTAAATGTGAATAACAAAGTGTGAGGCCAGACATACTGCCTCACACGCCTGTTCTCACGCATTTGTGAATAAGTTACCCTTTATGTATAGAACTAAGCAAATAATGTACTGTGTGAAATGCTGTGTAACATTCAGTGCCATAATATCCTGACAACGGGGGTTAATTATTATGACATGTTGTAGTAAGTGCGGGAACTCTGGAAAGTTTCAAAAGGAGGCTAGATAGATTCATGGATGATAGAGAGTGGTAGTAACTCCTGACAGGAGCTGCCATGCACAGGCAGGCCGGCCTATTGCAGACTCCTTATTTTCTTATGTTCTTATGTTGTAGACTCTACTCTGTAATCCTTTTGTGCTACCGCTGTAACGCCAAATCAAAATTAAAATCAACACACCATAATACCCACACACCCACTATAACACCCACACACCCACTATAACACCCACACACCTACTATAACACCCACACACCCACTATAACACCCACACAATCACTAAAACACATACAATAACATCCATACACCCATAATAAAACCCACACACCCATTATAACACCCACACACTATAGCACCACGATAACACCCACACACCATAACACCCACACACCCACTATAACACCCACACACCCCACTATAACACCCACACCACTATAATGCCCACACACCACAATAAACACACACACCCACTATAACACCCACACACTAACACCCACAATCACTAAAACACATACAATAGCATCCATAATACCCACACACCCATTATAACGCCCACACCCACTATAGCGCCCACACACGATAACACCACCCATAACGCCCACACTATACCCACTATAACGCCCACACACCACTATAATGCCACACACCACAATAACGCCACACCCATATAACGCCACACACCCACTACAACACCCACACGCATTATAACACCCACACACCACTATAGCCCACACAATCACTAAAACACATACAATAACATCCATACACCCATAATAAAACCCACACACACCCATTATAACACCCACACCCCTATAACACCCACACCCATTATAACACCCACACACCCATTATAACACCCACACACCACTATAACACCCACACAATCACTAAAACACATACAATAACGTCCATACACCATAATAAAACCACACACCCATTATAACACCCACACCCACTATAGCACCCACACACCCACTATAACACCCACAATAAAACACATACAATAACGTCCATACACCCATAATAAAACCCACACACCCATTATAACACCCACACCCACTATAACACCCACACACCCATTATAACACCACACACCCATTATAACACCCACACACCCACTAACAACCACACAATCACTAAACACATACAATAACATCCATACACCCATACACAAACCCACACACCCACTATAACACCCACACCCACCATAGCACCCACACACGATAACACCCACACCATAACACCCACACACCCACACTATAACACCCACACACCCACTATAACACCCACACACCCACTATAACACCCACACAATCACTAAAACACATACAATAACATCCATACACCCATAATAAAACCCAACCACCCATTATCACCAAAACCCACTATAACACCCACACACCCATTATAACACCCACACACCCATTATAACACCCACACACCCACTATAACACCCACACAATCACTAAAACACATACAATAACATCCATACACCCATAATATAAAACCCACACACCCACTATAACACCCACACACCCACTATACCCACACACCCACTATAACACCACACACCTACATAACACCCACACACCCACTATAACACCCACACACCATAACACCCACACACCCACATAACACCCACACCATGCACCCACACACACTATAACACCCACACACCCATTATAACACCCACACACCCATTATAACACCCACACACCACTATAACACCCACACACCATAACACCCACACACCCACTATAACACCCACACCCACTATAACACCCACACACCCATTATAACACCCACACACCCACTATAACACCCACACACTCACTAAACACACACAACATCCATACACCCATATAAAACCCACACACCCACTATAACACCCACACACCCACTATAACACCCACACACCCACTATAACACCCACACACCGCCTTATAACACCCACACACCCACTTAACACCCACACACCATAACACCCACACACCTACTAAACACCCACACCATAACACCCACACCCACTATAACACCCACACACCCACTATACCCACACACCCATTATAACACCCACACCCACTCAACACCCACACACCATAACACCCACACCCACTATAACACCCACACACCCACTATAACACCCAACACCCATTATAACACCCACACACCCACTATAACACACACACCCACTATAACACCCACACAATCACTAAACACATACAATAACATCCATACACCCATAATAAAACCCACACACCCATTATAACACCCACACACCCATTATAACACCCACACACCCACTATAACACCCACACAATCACTAAAACACATACAATAACATCCATACAATCTAATAAACCACACCCATTATAACACCCACACACCCATTATAACACCCACACACCCACTATAACACCCACACAATCACTAAAACATACACAACACTCCATACACCCAATAAAACCCACACACCCATTATAACACCCACACACCCATTATAACACCCACACACCCACTATAGCACCCACACACGATAACACCCACACACCATAACACCCACACACACACTATAACACCCACACCCACTATAATACCCACACACCCACAATAACACTCAAACCACTATAACACCCACACACCCACTATAACACCCACACACCCACTATAGCACCCACACACGATAACACCAACACCAAACACCCACACACCCACTATAACACCCACACACCCACTATACACCCACACACCCACACACACCCCACACACCCACTATAACACCCACACACCCACTATAACACCCACACACCCACTATAATACCCACACACCTAATAAAACCCACACACCCCACACACCCACTATAACACCCACACAACCACAATAACACCCACACACCCACACAACACCCACACACCCACTATAAACCCACACACCCACCACAACACCCACACCCCCACTATAACACCCACACACCCAATAACACCCACACACCATAACACCCACACACACCACATAACACCCACACCCCACTATAACACGCACACACCCACAATAACACCCACACACCATAACACCCACTATAACACCCACACACCCACTATAACACCCACACCCCACTATAACACGCACACACCCACATAACACCCACACACCATAACACCCACTATAACACCCACACACCCACTATAACACCCACAACCCACTATAATACCCACACACCAATAATAAAACCCACACACAATACTACTATAACCCACACACCCACAATAACACCCACACACCCACAATAACACCCCACACACCCACTATAAACCCACACACCCACTATAACACCCACACACCCACTATAGCACCCACACACCCACTATAACACCCACACACGATAACACCCACACACCATAACACCCACACCTCCACTATAACACCCACACACCACTATAACACCCACACACCCACTATAACACCCACACCTCCACTATAACACCCACACACCCACTATAACACTCCACACCCACTATAACACCCACACACCATAACACCCACAAACCCACTATAACACCCACACACCATAACACCCACACTCCAATTATAACACCCACACACACCCACTATAACACCCACACACCCACTATAGCACCCACACACGATAACACCCACACACCATAACACCCACACACCCACTATAACACCCACACCCACTATAACACCCACACACCCACTATAACACCCACACACCCATTATAACACCCACACACCATAACATCCACACACCCCACTATAACACCCACACACCCATTATAACACCCACACACCACAATAACACCCACATGCCCACTAACACCCACACGCCCACTAAGCGCCCTCCACCCACAGCACTACCAATAGAGATGTACCAGATGTGGGTGCAGTACCCATGGCCGTGGGGTGACGCCGCCTGCAAGATAAGGGCCATATTACCTGAGACTCTGGCCCACGTGTCCGTCTTAAATATCCTGGCCGTGACGGGAGAGAGGTACGTGGCCATCACGGACCCCGTCTACGCCCGCACCACGCACACCCTCGCCCGTACCGCCCGTGTCCTCCCCGTCATCTGGATAGTGGCGCTGCTGGCGGCTACACCCTGGGGCTACTACCAGCAGGTGAGTTATACTACCAGCAGGTGAGTTATACTACCAGCAGGTGAGTTATACTGCTAGCAGGTGAGTTATACTACCAGCAGGTGAGTCTGTTATACTACCAGCAGGTGAGTTATACTACCAGCAGGTGAGTTATACTACCAGCAGGTGAGTTATATTACCCGTTATACTACCAGCAGGTGAGTTATATTACCTGTTATACTACCAGCAGGTGAGTTATATTACCCGTTATACTACCAGCAGGTGAGTTATACTACCAGCAGGTGAGTTATACTACCAGCAGGTGAGTTATACTACCAGCAGGTGAGTGTTATACTACCAGCAGGTGAGTTATACTACCGTTATACTACAGCAGGTGTATACTACCAGCAGGTGAGTTATACTACCAGCAGGTGAGTTATACTACCGTTATACTACCAGCAGGTGAGGTTATACTACCAGCAGGTGAGTTATACTACCAGCAGGTGAGTCTGTTACATACCAGCAGGTGAGTTATACTACCAGCAGGTGAGTTATCACCAGCAGGTGAGGTATACTACCAGCAGGTGAGTTATACTACCAGCAGGTGAGTTATACTACCAGCAGGTGAGTTATACTACCAGCAGGTGAGTTATACTACCAGCAGGTGAGTTATACTACCAGCAGGTGAGTCTGTTATACTACCAGCAGGTGAGTTATACTACCAGCAGGTGAGTTATACTACCAGCAGGTGAGTATACTACCAGCAGTGAGTTATACTACCAACAGGTGGTTATACACCACAGGTGAGTTTACAGTGAGTTATACTACCAGCAGGTGAGTTATACTACCAGCAGGTGAGTTATACTACCAGCAGGTGAGTCTGTTATACTACCAGCAGGTGAGTTATACTACCAGCAGGTGAGTTATACTACCAACAGGTGAGTTATACTACCAGCAGGTGAGTTATACTACCAGCAGGTGAGTTATACTACCAGCAGTGAGTTATACTACCAGAGGTGAGTTATACTACCAGCAGGTGAGTCTGTTATACTACCAGCAGGTGAGTTATACTACCAGCAGGTGAGTTATACTACCAGCAGTGAGTTATACTACCAGCAGGTGAGTTATACTACCAGCAAGTGAGTTATACTACCAGCAGGTGAGTCTGTTATACTACCAGCAGGTGAGTTATACTACCAGCAAGTGAGTTATACTACCAGCAGGTGAGTTATACTACCAGCAAGGAGTTATACTACCAGCAGGTGAGTCGTTATACTACCAGCAGGTGAGTTATACTACCAGCAAGTGAGTTATACTACCAGCAGTGAGTTATACTACCAGCAAGGAGTTATGCTACCAACAGGTGAGTTATAGTACCAGGAGGTGAGTTATACTACCCGTTATACTACCAACAGGTGAGTTATACTACCAGCAGGTGAGTTATGCTACCAACAGGTGAGTTATAGTACCAGGAGGTGAGTTATACTACCAGCAGGTGAGTTATACTACCAGCAGGTGAGTTATACTACCAGCAGGTGAGTTATACTACCAGCAGGTGAGTTATACTCACCAGCAGGTGAGTTATACTACCAACAGGTGAGTTATACTACTGAGGTGAGTTATACTACCAACAGGCGAGTTATACTACCAGCAGGTGAGTTATACTACCAGAGGTGAGTTATACTACCAACAGGTGAGTTATACTACCAGCAAGTGAGTTATACTACCAGCAGGTGAGTTATACTACCAGCAGGTGAGTTATACTACCAACAGGTGAGTTATACTACCAGCAGGTGAGTTATACTACCAACAGGTGAGTTATACTACCAGCAGGGTGAGGTATACAACCAACAGGTGAGTTATCTACCAACAGGTGAGTTATACTACCAGCAGGTGAGTTATACTACCAGCAGGTGAGTTATACTACCAACAGGTGAGTTATACTACCAGCAGGTGAGTTATACTACCAACAGGTGAGTCTGTTATACTACCAACAGGTGAGTTATACTACCAGCAGGTGAGTTATACTACCAACAGGTGAGTTATACTACCAGCAGGTGAGTTATAGTACCAGGAGGTGAGTTATACTACCAGCAGGTGAGTTATGCTAACAGCAGGTGAGTTATACTACCAACAGGTGAGTTATACCAGCAGGTGAGTTATACTACCACAGGTGAGTTATACTACCCGTTATACTACCAACAGGTGAGTTATACTACCAGTCGATGAGTCTGTTATACTACCAGCAGGTGAGTTATACTACCCGTTATACTACCAACAGGTGAGTTATACTACCAGGAGGTGAGTTATACTACCAGGAGGTGAGTTATACTACCAACAGGTGAGTTATACTACCAGCAGGTGAGTTATGCTACCAACAGGTGAGTTATACTACCAACAGGTGAGTTATACTACCAGCAGGTGAGTTATACTACCAGGGTGAGTTATACTACCAGCAGGTGAGTTATACTACCAGCAGGTGAGTTATACTACCAACAGGTGAGTTATACTACCAGCAAGTGAGTTATACTACCAGCAGGTGAGTTATCTTACCAGCAGGTGAGTTATACTACCAACAGGTGAGTTATACTACCAACAGGTGAGTTATACTACCAGCAGGTGAGTTATACACCAGCAGGTGAGTTATACTACCAACAGGTGAGTTATACTACCAGCAGGTGGGTTATACTACCAACAGGTGAGTTATACTACCAGCAGGTGAGTTATACTACCAGCAGGTGAGTTATACTACCAACAGGTGAGTTATACTACCAGCAGGTGAGTTATACTACCAACAGGTGAGTCTGTTATACTACCAACAGGTGAGTTATACTACCAGCAGGTGAGTTATACTACCAACAGGTGAGTTATACTACCAGCAGGTGAGTTATAGTACCAGGAGGTGAGTTATACTACCAGCAGGTGAGTTATGCTAACAGCAGGTGAGGTTATACTACCAACAGGTGAGTTATACTACCCGTTATACTACCAACAGGTGAGTTATACTACCAGTCGATGAGTCTGTTATACTACCAGCAGGTGAGTTATACTACCCGTTATACTACCAAACAGGTGAGTTTTACCACCAGGAGGTGAGTTATACTACCAGGAGGTGAGTTATACTACCAACAGGTGAGTTATACTACCAGCAGGTGAGATGCTACCAAGGTGAGTTATACTACAGGTGAGTTATACGGGGTGATCGTGGTTATACTACCAGGTGAGTTATACTACCAACAGGTGAGTTATACTACCAGAGGTGAGTTATACTACCAGGGGGGGTTATACTACCAGGGTTTTATACTACCAACAGGTGAGTTATACTACCAGCAGGTGAGTTATACTACCAGGAGGTGAGTTATACTACCAGCAGGTGAGTTATACTACCAGCAGGTGAGTTATACTACCAGGAGGTGAGTTATACTACCAACAGGTGAGTTATACTACCAGCAGGTGAGTTATACTACCAACAGGTGAGTTATACTACCAGTCGATGAGTCTGTTATACTACCAACAAGTGAGTTATACTACCAGCAGGTGAGTTATGCTACCAACAGGTGAGTTATACTACCAGCAGTGAGTTATACTACCAGGAGGTGAGTTATACTACCAGCAAGTGAGTTATACTACCAACAGGTGAGTTATACTACCAGGTGAGTCTGTTATACTACCAAGGAGATACTACCAGGTGAGTATCTACCAACAGGTGAGGTTATACTACCAGCAGGTGAGTTATACTACCAGCAAGTGAGTTACTACCAACAGGTGAGTTATACTACCAGCAGGTGAGTTATACTACCAGCAGGTGAGTTATACTACCAGCAGGTGAGTTATACTACCAGCAGGTGAGTTATACTACCAGCAGGTGAGTTATACTACCAACAGGTGAGTTATATTACCAGCAGGTGAGTATACAGCAGGTGAGTTATACCACAGGGAGTTATACTACCAGCAGGTGAGTTATACTACCAGCAGGTGAGTTATAGTACCAGAGGAGTTATACTACCAACAGGTGAGTTATACTACCAACAGGTGAGTTATACTACCAGCAGGTGAGTTATACTACCAGAGGTGAGTTATACTACCAGAGGTGAGCTGTTATCTACCAGCAGGTGAGGTTATACTACCAGCAGGTGAGTTATACTACCAGCAGGTGAGTTATATTACCAGCAGGTGAGTTATACTACCAGCAGGTGAGTTATACCAACAGGTGAGTTATACTACCAGCAGGTGAGTTATACTACCAGCAGGAGTTGTTTACAGGAGGTGAGTTATACTACCAACAGGTGAGTTATACTACCAGGAGGTGAGGTTATACTACCAGGAGGTGAGTTACTACCAACAGGTGAGTTATACTACCAGGAGGTGAGTTATATTACCAGGAGGTGAGTTATACTACCAGCAGGTGAGTTATACTACCAGCAGGTGAGTTATACTAGCGTTATACTACCAGGAGGTAATCTGTTATACTACCAGGAGGTGAGTCTGTTATACTACCAGGAGGTGAGTCTGTTATACTACCAGGAGGTGAGTCTGTTATACTACCAGGAGGTGAGTCTGTTATACTACCAGGAGGTGAGTCACTACCAGGAGGTAAGTCTGTTATACTACCAGGAGGTGAGTCTGTTATACTACCAGGAGGTGAGTCTGTTATACTACCAGGAGGTGAGTCTGTTATACTACCAGGAGGTGAGTTTATACTACCAGGAGGTGAGTCTGTTATACTACCAGGAGGTGAGTCTGTTATACTACCAGGAGGTGAGTCTGTTATACTACCAGGAGGTGAGTCTGTTATACTACCAGGAGGTGAGTCTGTTATACTACCAGGAGGTGTCTGTTATACTACCAGAGGTGAGTTATACTACCAGGAGGTGAGTCTGTTATACTACCAGGAGGTGAGTCTGTTATACTACCAGGAGGTGAGTCTGTTACTACCAGGAGGTGAGTTATACTACCAGGAGGTGAGTCTGTTATACTACCAGGAGGTGAGTCTGTTATACTACCAGGAGGTGAGTCTGTTATACTACCAGGAGGTGAGGTCTGTTATACTACCAGGAGGTGAGTCTGTTATACTACCAGGAGGTGAGCCACTACCAGGAGGTGAGTCTGTTATACTACCAGGAGGTGAGTCTGTTATACTACCAGGAGGTAAGTCTGTTATACTACCAGGAGGTGAGTTATACTACCAGGAGGTGAGTCGTTATACTACCAGGAGGTGAGTCTGTTATACTACCAGGAGGTGAGTTATACTACCAGGAGGTGAGTCTGTTATACTACCAGGAGGTGAGTCTGTTATACTACCAGGAGGTGAGTCTGTTATACTACCAGGAGGTGAGTCTGTTATACTACCAGGAGGTGAGTCTGTTATACTACCAGGAGGTGAGTCTGTTATACTACCAGGAGGTAAGTCTGTTATACTACCAGGAGGTGAGTCTGTTATACTACCAGGAGGTGAGTCTGTTATACTACCAGGAGGTGAGTCTGTTATACTACCAGGAGGTGACTGTTATACTACCAGGAGGTGAGTCTGTTATACTACCAGGAGTGAGTCTATATACTACCAGGAGGTGAGTCTGTTATACTACCAGAGGTGAGTCTGTTATATTACCAGGAGAGTCTGTTATACTACCAGGAGGTGAGTCTGTTATACTACCAGGAGGTGAGTCTGTTATACTACCAGGAGGTAAGTCTGTTATACTACCAGGAGGTGAGTCTGATACTACCAGAGGTGAGTCTGTTATACTACCAGGAGGTGAGTTATACTACCAGGAGGTGAGTCTGTTATACTACCAGGAGGTGAGTCTGTTATACTACCAGGAGGTGAGTCTGTTATACTACCAGGAGGTGAGTCTGTTATACTACCAGGAGGTAAGTCTGTTATACTACCAGGAGGTGAGTCTGTTATACTACCAGGAGGTGAGGTCTGTTATACTACCAGGAGGTGAGTCTGTTATACTACCAGAGGTGAGTCTGTTATACTACCAGGAGGTGAGTCTGTTATACTACCAGGAGGTGAGTCTGTTATACTACCAGGAGGTGAGTCTGTTATACTACCAGGAGGTGAGTCTGTTATACTACCAGGAGGTGAGTCTGTTATACTACCAGGAGGTGAGTCTGTTATACTACCAGGAGGTGAGTCTGTTATACTACCAGGAGGTGAGTCTGTTATACTACCAGGAGGTAAGTCTGTTATACTACCAGGAGGTAAGTCTGTTATACTACCAGGAGGTGAGTCTGTTATACTACCAGGAGGTGAGTGTTATACTACCAGGAGGTAAGTCTGTTATACTACCAGGAGGTGAGTCTGTTATACTACCAGGAGGTGAGTCTGTTATACTACCAGGAGGTGAGTCTGTTATACTACCAGGAGGTAAGTCTGTTATACTACCAGGAGGTAAGTCTGTTATACTACCAGGAGGTGAGTCTGTTATACTACCAGGAGGTGAGTTATACTACCAGGAGGTGAGTCTGTTATACTACCAGGAGGTGAGTCTGTTATACTACCAGGAGGTGAGTCTGTTATACTACCAGGAGGTGAGTCTATACTACCAGGAGGTGAGTCTGTTATACTACCAGGAGGTAAGTCTGTTATACTACCAGGAGGTGAGTCTGTTACTACCAGGAGGTAAGTCTGTTATACTACCAGGAGGTGAGTTATACTACCAGGAGGTAAGTCTGTTATACTACCAGGAGGTAAGTCTGTTATACTACCAGGAGGTAAGTCTGTTAATACCAGGAGGTAAGTCTGTTATACTACCAGAGGTGAGTCTGTTATACTACCAGGAGGTGAGTCTGTTATACTACCAGGAGGTGAGTCTATACTACCAGGAGGTGAGTTATACTACCAGGAGGTGAGTCTGTTATACTACCAGAGGGTGAGTCTGTTATACTACCAGGAGGTAAGTCTGTTATACTACCAGGAGGTGAGTTATACTACCAGGAGGTAAGTCTGTTATACTACCAGGAGGTAAGTCTGTTATACTACCAGGAGGTAAGTCTGTTATACTACCAGGAGGTGAGTCTGTTATACTACCAGGAGGTGAGTCTGTTACACTACCAGGAGGTAAGTCTGTTATACTACCAGGAGGTGAGTCTGTTATACTACCAGGAGGTGAGTCTGTTATACTACCAGGAGGTGAGTCTGTTATACTACCAGGAGGTGAGTCTGTTATACTACCAGGAGGTGAGTCTGTTATACTACCAGGAGGTAAGTCTGTTATACTACCAGGAGGTGAGTCTGTTATACTACCAGGAGGTGAGTCTGTTATACTACCAGGAGGTGAGTCTGTTATACTACCAGGAGGTGAGTCTGTTATACTACCAGGAGGTGAGTCTGTTATACTACCAGGAGGTGAGTCTGTTATACTACCAGGAGGTGAGTCTGTTATACTACCAGGAGGTGAGTCTGTTATACTACCAGGAGGTGAGTCTGTTATACTACCAGGAGGTGAGTCTGTTATACTACCAGGAGGTGAGTCTGTTATACTACCAGGAGGTGAGTTATACTACCAGGAGGTGAGTCTGTTATACTACCAGGAGGTGAGTCTGTTATACTACCAGGAGGTGAGTCTGTTATACTACCAGGAGGTGAGTTATACTACCAGGAGGTGAGTCTGTTATACTACCAGAGGTGAGTCTGTTATACTACCAGGAGGTGAGTCTGTTATACTACCAGGAGGTGAGTCTGTTATACTACCAGGAGGTGAGTCTGTTATACTACCAGGAGGTGAGTCTGTTATACTACCAGGAGGTGAGTCTGTTACACCAGGAGGTGAGTCTGTTATACTACCAGGAGGTGAGTCTGTTATACTACCAGGAGGTGAGTCTGTTATACTACCAGGAGGTGAGTCTGTTATACTACCAGGAGGTGAGTCTGTTATACTACCAGGAGGTGAGTCTGTTATACTACCAGGAGGTGAGTCTGTTATACTACCAGGAGGTGAGTCTGTATACTACCAGGAGGTGAGTTATACTACCAGGAGGTGAGTCTGTTATACTACCAGGAGGTGAGTCTGTTATACTACCAGGAGGTGAGTCTGTTATACTACCAGGAGGTGAGTCTGTTATACTACCAGGAGGTAAGTCTGTTATACTACCAGGAGGTGAGTCTGTTATACTACCAGGAGGTGAGTCTGTTATACTACCAGGAGGTGAGTCTGTTATACTACCAGGAGGTGAGTCTGTTATACTACCAGGAGGTGAGTCTGTTATACTACCAGGAGGTGAGTCTGTTATACTACCAGGAGGTAAGTCTGTTATACTACCAGGAGGAGTCTGTTATACTACCAGGAGGTGAGTCTGTGGTACTACCAGGAGGTGAGTCTGTTATACTACCAGGGTGATCTATACTACCAGGAGGTGAGTCTGTTATACTACCAGGAGGTGAGTCTGTTATACTACCAGGAGGTAAGTCTGTTATACTACCAGGAGGTGAGTCTGTTATACTACCAGGAGGAGTCTGTTAGTACTACCAGGAGGTGAGTCTGTTATACTACCAGGAGGTGAGTCTGTTATACTACCAGGAGGTGAGTCTGTTATACTACCAGGAGGTGAGTCTGTTATACTACCAGGAGGTGAGTCTGTTATACTACCAGGAGGTGAGTTATACTACCAGGAGGTGAGTCTGTTATACTACCAGGAGGTAGTCTGTTATACTACCAGGAGGTGAGTCTGTTATACTACCAGGAGGTGAGTCTGTTACACTACCAGGAGGTGAGTCTGTTATACTACCAGGAGGTGAGTCTGTTATACTACCAGGAGGTGAGTCTGTTATACTACCAGGGGTGAGTCTGTTACACTACCAGGAGGGTCTGTTACAGGAGGTGAGTCTGTTATACTACCAGGAGGTGAGTCTGTTATACTACCAGGAGGTGAGTCTGTTATACTACCTGTCATCACTGGTACTCACACAGCGTAACACTACGGTCTATCTGTGTTACTCAGGCCTAGACCATCAACGAACATGCCAATTAGTGTCGAATATCCCTTGTATAACATATCTACACACAGTTACTGCTGCCTTGCTTACTTACTTACTTGCTTACTTACTTACTTACTTGCCTTGCCTTGCTTACATCTGTGCAGCCTATTTATTGTACTTACTTCCTTGTTGTGTATGTGTTGTATGTATTGTATGTACTTGTTGTGTGTGTGTGTGTGTGTGTGTGTGTGTGTGTGTATTGTATGTGTGTGTGTGTGTGTGTGTGTTGTATGTATTGTTGTGTGTATGTGTGTGTGTGTTGTGTGTGTGTGTGGCCTATGTGTGTGTGTGTGTGTGTGTGTGTGTGTGTGTGTGTGTGTGTGTGTATGTGTATGTGTGTGTATGTATGTATGTGTATGTATTTGCTTGCTTGCCTTGTATGCTTGTAGCCTTGTTTTGCTTGTATACCTTGTATGTGTGTATGTGTATGCTTGTTCTTGTGTGTGTGTATGTGTTTGTGTATGTATGTTGTGTATGTGTGTGTGTGTGTGTGTGTGTGTGTGTGTGTGTGTATTGTGTGTTGTGGCCTTGGCCTGTGTTGTGTTGTGTGTTGCCTTGCCGTGCATGCATGCGTGCGTACATGCACATGTGTGTACATACATTCATACATACATACATACATTCATACATACATACATACATACATACATACATACATACTTACATACATACATACATACATACATTCATACATACATACATACATACATACATACATACATACATACATACATACATACATACTTACATTCATACATACATACATACATACATACATACATACATACTCTTTATTTTCGTTATTCATTCTCATCTTCATTGATACATATGGTTTACTCATCCTACACTCGTGCTATGTATATCCTGTAATTCTGTCATACACCCTGTCTATTCATCTTCTCCATCCTGCCTTCTCAGCCTACTACAGTCCATCCTGCCTCCTCAGTGTACAGTCCATCCTGCCTCCTCAGTGTACAGTCCATCCTGCCTCCTCAGTGTACAGTCCATCCTGCCTCCTTAGTGTACAGTCCATCCTGCCTCCTCAGTGTACAGTCCATCCTGCCTCCTCAGTGTACAGTCCATCCTGCCTCCTCAGTGTACAGTCCATCCTGCCTCCTCAGTGTACAGTCCATCCTGCCTCCTTAGTGTACAGTCCATCCTGCCTCCTCAGTGTACAGTCCATCCTGCCTCCTCAGTGTACAGTCCATCCTGCCCCCTCCCGAGGTGTACAGTTCATCCTGCCTCCTCCAGTGTACAGTCCATCCTGCCCCCTCAGTGTACAGGTCCATCTCCCCTCAATGTACAGAGTCCATCCTGCCTCCTCAGTGCCACAGTCCATCCTGCCTCCCCTCAGTGTACAGTCCATCCTGCCTCCTCAGTGCCTGATCCAACCTGCCTCCTCGAGGTGCCACAGTCCATCCTACCCCCCTCAATGTACAGTCCAGCCCTGCCCCCTCAGTGTACAGTCCATCCTACCCCCCCTCCAATGTACAGTCCATCCTGCCTCCTCAGTGTACAGTCCATCCTGCCTCCTCAGTGTACAGTCCATCCTGCCTCCTCAGTGTACAGTCCATCCTGCCTCCTCAGTGTACAGTCCATCCTGCCTCCTCAGTGTACAGTCCATCCTGCCCCCTCAGTGTACAGTCCATCCTGCCTCCTCAGTGTACAGTACATCCTGCCTTTTCAGCCTACAGCCCATCCTACATCCTGCCCACAGAAGTCAATTACACACACCGTCTCTCTTTCATTTCCGCCAGACACCCAACACACACAACTGCAAGGTGCTGAAATATTAATTATCTCTCTCTTTCTCTCTCTCAGACACTTTTCTTCCCCCTCCTTTTCCTCCCTTATCTACCACCTCTCCCCCAACCTCCTCCTCTCACCACCACCACCTCCCCCTCTCATCAGGACCTGCTCTCCCTCCTACAGGTCAACCTCCTCCTGGGTCCGTTCGGGTCACTGCCTCAGAGTGCGTGGTGCGCCATCCCTTACCACGACACCTCCACCAGCTGGTCTTGGCTCATGTGGGTCTCCTCCGTGGGCGCCTTCATCCTGCCCATGACCATCCTCATGACCCTCTACTGCAAGATAGGTCAGTAACCCACATGCTGTCATATAATGGGTACGTTATCCCATGTCTAAATAAGTCGACGACCCATGAACATTGACAATAACCCATTTTATGTGTTTTAAAGAGTTCCAATCTTAAACGGTCCTGATTACACCTGCCCCATTACAATTGTGACCCATTACAATTGGCACCTATTACAACTGTGACCCATTACAATTGGGACCAATTGCAACTGTGACCCATTACAACCATGACCCATTACAACTGGGACCTATTACAACTGTGATCCATTACAACTGTTACCCATTACAACCGTGACCCATTACAACTGTGACCCATTACAACTGTTACCCATTACAACCGTGACCTATTACAACTGTGACCCATTTAGAGTAGTAGGAGTGGTGGTGGGGGTGGGGGAGGGGGAAGGGCATTAGACTTGAAGCCAATTACTAAACTACAAAGAAACCCGATACAGCAGAGAGCAAGTAACAGCAGCAGTAACACAACACTGGACTACATGATTCACTTTACATAACAACAACACAACAGTCAGCTGCCGGAGTCGTTACTATTGTATTGCCCAGGAAGCCAACTTTATGCATCTCAAGAGAACATTAAGTGAAGACGAGTGATCACAGGAGGGTTGTAAGGTGTTGTGAGTGAGGTGTTGTGGTGTGTTATGGTGTGTTGTGAGTGTAGTGTTGTGATGTGTTATGGTGTGTTGTGAGTGTAGTGTTGTGATGTGTTATGGTGTGTTGTGAATGTGTTGTTGTATTACAAGTGTTGTGAGTGTGGTGTTGTGGTGTGTTATGGTGTGATGTGAGTATGGTGTTGTGAGCGTGTTATGGTGTTTTGTGACTGTGGAGTTGTATTATGAGTGTGGTGTTGTGGTGTGTTATGGTGTGTTGTGAGTGTAGTGTTGTGATGTGTTATGGTGTGTTGTGAAGGTGTAGTGTTGTGATGTGTTATGGTGTGTTGTGAGTGTAGTGTTGTGATGTGTTATGGTGTGTTGTGAGTGTAGTGTCGTGATGTGTTATGGTGTGTTGTGAATGTGGTGTTGTATTACAAGTGTTGTGAGGTGTGGTGTTGTATGGTGTGTTATGGTGTGATGTGGGTATAGGTGTTGTGAGCGTGTTGTAGTTTTTGTGACTGTGGGTGTATTATGAGTGTGGTGTTGTGGTGTGTTATGGTGTGTTGTGAGTGTAGTGTTGTGATGTGTTATGGTGTGTTGTGGGTGTAGTGTTGTGATGTGTTATGGTGTGTTGTGAATGTGGTGTTGTGGTGTGTTATGGTGTGTTATGGTGTGTGTTGTGAGTATAGTGTTGTGAGCATGTTATAGTGTGTTGTGACTGTGAGTTGTATTATGAGTGTGGTGTTGTGATGTGTTATGGTGTGTGTTGTGGTGTAGTGTTCTATAGTGGTGTTTTGTGTTGTGAGTGTGGTGCTGTGTTGTGGGTTTGGTGATGTGTTATGGTGTGTTGTGAGTGTGGTGTTCTATGATGGTGTTTTGTGTTGTGAGTGTGGTGCTGTGTTATGGTGTGTTGTGAGTGTGGTGTTGTATGATGGTGTGTTGTGTTGTGACTGTGGTGCTGTATTGTGAGGGTGTTATAGTTTTGTGAGGGTATTATAGTGTTGTGGTATGTTATAGTGTTGTGGGGATGTTATGGTGTGTAGTGAGGGTGTTATGGTGTGTTGTTAGGGTGTTATAGTGTCGTGAGGGTGTTATGGTGTGTAGTAAAGGTGTTATGGTATTGTGAGGGTGTTATGTTGTGTTGTGACGGTGTTATAGTGTAGTGAGGGTGTTGTGGTGTGTTGTGAAGGTGTTATGGTGTGTTGTGAAGGTGTTATGGTGTTGTGACGGTGTTATAGTGTTGTGAGGTGCTATGGTGTATTGTGAAAGTGTTATGGTGTTGACAGTGTTATAATGTTTGTGAGGAGTGTTGTTATGGTGTGTTGTTAAGGTGTTATGGTGTTGTGACAGGGTGTTATAGTGTTGTGATGGTGTTATAGTGTTGTGAGGATGTTATAGTGTTGTGAAATTGTATATAGTGTTGTGAGGTGTTGCTATAGTGTTGTGAGGATGTTATAGTGTTGTGGAGTGTGTTAAGGTGTGTTGTGGGATGTTATAGTGTTGTGAGGATGTTATAGTGTTGTGAGTGTGTTAAGGTGTGTTGTAGGGGTGTTATGGTGTTGTGGGGGTGTTATGGTGTTGTGGGGTGTTATAGTGTTGTGAGGGTGTTAAGGTGTGTTGTGGGGGTGTTATGGTGTTGTGAGGGTGTTATAGTGTTGTGGGGGTGTTATGGTGTGTTGTGGGGGTGTTATGGTGTTGTGAGGAGTGTTAAGGTGTGTTGTGAGGGTGTTAAGGTGTATTGTGGGGGTGTTATGGTGTTGTGGGGGTGTTATAGTGTTGTGAGGATGTTATAGTGTTGTGAGTGTGTTAAGGTGTGTTGTAGGGGTGTTATGGTGTTGTGGGGGTGTTATGGTGTTGTGGGGTGTTATAGTGTTGTGAGGGTGTTAAGGTGTGTTGTGGGGGTGTTATGGTGTTGTGAGGGTGTTATAGTGTTGTGGGGGTGTTATGGTGTGTTGTGGGGGTGTTATGGTGTTGTGAGGGTATTATAGTGTGTTGTGGGGATGTTATGGTGTTGTGAGGGTGGTATAGTGTGTTGTGAGGGTGTTATGGTGTGTTGTGGGGTGTTATGGTGTTGTGAGGGTGATTGATTTTGATTTGATTTTGCCAACACAGCTCTTTAATAATGCCACACTCATCACATGACAGTAACAAAGGATTACAGAGTAGAGTTTACAAGGTCATAATAATTAACCCCCGTTGTCAGGACCTATTATGGCACTGAATGTTACACAGTATTTCATTAACATTATTTGTTTGATTCT